TGGAGGTTGGTCTCAAAGATAAGGGCAAGAGACTTAGGGGAATGTTCCAGAGATATAAGGGGATGAAGGCTTAGGGGAAGTGTTCCGGAGATATAAGGGACAGAAGACTTAGGGGAAGTGTCTCGAAGATATAAGGGACAGGAGATTTAGAAGGGATGGTTCGAAGATTTAGAGGAGGTGTTTCGGAGATATAAGGGACGGAAGACTTAGGGGAAATGTTTCGAAAATATAAGGGATTTGGAGGGGGTGTTTCGAAGATTTAGGAGGTTGGCTGTGGGTTGGATTGTTTGTTCGAGAGTTTGATGCTTGCCCGATTGTGGTAGGATTGCAATAAGGGAGAGCTCCAAGTGCTGGATGATGCAATACAGTCGAGTCGATGGCTTGATCGGTTCGGTTTGCCGTGGAGGTGCGTGTTGGTCGGAAGAGTGGGAGTCGGACGAGGACGTGGATCTTGTTGTATAGCAATAATTGAGCTGACGATCTGTTGCTATGGTATTGCAAAGGATTTTCTGCTCGATTAACGCTCGACGATGAGAATGAGTGCCTTGTCTCGGTCGTCTTGGATTGCCTTGCGAGAAACTCGTTGTTGCTGTCAGATCCAGTGCCTGACCCGTTTCTATGGTAGGGAGTGGGGTTAGGGACTGATTCTCGTAGCGGCAAAGAGTTTCTTGTTGGGAGGAGTGGACAGTTTGGTTGGTTGGTTGATAGTGCTTTCGTGTTGTGGTTGGTTGGTGTTGTGGGTGTGATTGCGATTTTCGAAGATGATCTTCCTGTAGAAACTGTACCAGGTTCTACGTGGAATGACTGGTATCTTCTGTTGCAGCAATCACTTGATCGTTCGGCCGTTCGGCCCCGTAGAGGGCTTTCTGCAGTTGCTGAGAGGCTCCAATGGGACCGGCAGTGTTAATAAGCTTGTTGTTCTTGTCTGTTTGGTGTTTTCGAGCTACTGATGATAGTGTATCGGTTCGGCCGTTGGCCATGGTCGATCCTTTTCGTTGGATCTGTTTTATGAGGTTTTGGTTGGTTGTGATTAGTTTTACGTAGGTTTCTACACGATTTGAGTACTGGGTCATAATAAAAGTCTTTTCGATAAAGCCAACGCTGGAATTATGCAGTAACTCTTGCAGTGTATCCTGTTGCCCATATTTGCTGGCACAGTGTAGTGGTGTATACTGATCTTTGTTGGCAGCATTGATGTCAGCACCATGTTCTAGTAGCACCAAAATGGCAGCTTTCCATCCCTTCTGAGTGGCCAGATGGAGTGGTGCCTTACCATCGTCATCCCTGCAATTTGGCCTTGCTCCTGCTTTTAGCAAAAGTTCGATGATGCTCACAAAGCCTCCAAGAGATGCATAATGAAGGGGGGAGTTTCCATTTCTCATTTGGCAGTTGGCATTTGCCCCTTGCTGCAGTAATGCTTGCACTGAATCCTGAACACCAAATTTGCATGCACAATGTAGTGGTGTGTACTGATCTTTGTTAGGAGCATCGATGTCAGCACCATGCTCCAAGAGGGCCTCAATGGCAGTTTTACATCCACTTCGACTTGCCCTGTGGAGTGGCGTCTTGCCATCATCATCCCTGCAATTTGGCCTTGCTCCCGATTTTAGCAAAAGTTCGATGATACCCACAAAGCCACCAAGAGCTGCATAATGAAGAGGAGAGTTTCCATTTCTCATTTGGCCCTTGGCATTTGCCCCTCGCTGCAGTAATGCTTGAACTGAATCCTGAACACCAAATTTGCATGCACAGTGTAGTGGTGTGTACTGATCTTTGTTGGGAGCATCAATGTCAGCACCATGCTCCAGTAGCGTCTCAATGGCAGGTTTACATCCACTTCGACTGGCCCTGTGGAGTGGTGTCTTGCCGTCATCATCTCTGCAATTTGACCTTGCTCCTGCCTTCAGCAAAAGTTCGATGATGCCCACAAAACCACCAAGAGATGCATAATGAAGAGGAGAGTTTCCATCTTTCATTTGACAGTTGGCATTTGCGCCTTGTTGGAGCAACAATTCGACTGCATCCTGAGCCCCAAATTTGCATGCACAGTGTAGTGGCGTGTACTGATCTTTGTTGGGAGCATTGATGTCAATGCCTGTGCCATGTTCCAGTAATGCCTGAATTGCAGCTAATCGCCTTTTCCGACTGGCATAATGCAGAGCGGCTTTGCCGTCGTTGTCGCGGTAATTAGGATCTGCATTTTTAAACAGCAAGAGCTTTATGATGTCTACATGGCCCTGAAGACCAGCCAAGTGCAGCGGAGTGCTGCCATCATTTGCTTGGGCGTTGGCTTTGGCACAATGCTCCAGTAACTCTTTCACTGCTGCATGTTTCCCATGTTTACAGGCGCAATGAAGTGGTGTATACCCATCCTTGTTTGTAGCATTTACGTCACCACCGCGTTCCAGTAAAGCTTGGATAGCAACTTGTTGTCCGTTCGAAGCAGCATAGTGGAGCGAAGAATTTCCATCGCTGTCTCTAGTATTTGGATCCGCCCTTCCTTTCAACAGATGTTTTAACCCACTGATATTCCCAGATCTGGCAGCCTTGACGAGAATCGGATCTTTGCTTTGCCTGGCTCCTACGTGCGCTTCCTCCCCGAAAGGAACCTGCCGTCCCATCCGGTGCTCGGGAGCGTCCATCTTCCATTTAACAAGCGCTCTGTTGGGCGTAGAATGCTGTTGGGGCACTACCACTAGCTAGCTCTAGCTAGCGCTTTGATTGCATCGAATCGAAGAAGAGAAGTACTGGTACCTCGCCACGGGTCGAGAGTAGAGAGCTCTTGATGAAGTGGTTGTCACTGGTTGATCGCTTGTTGCGGGGGGAAAATCACTAGCCAGGACTCTTGAATTCATCCTCGTCCCATCAACCTCCAAGCAGCTTCACGGTTTTCCCAGAAACAGATCGGACGGAGCTTTCGGCGGTGTAAAATTGGCTGAAAGTCAAAGCGCTTGGAAGGGGCATTCAATTTTTGTGCTGTTCCAGAATTTGATTTGCCCCCCCCCCCTTGCCGGTCGAGGTGCTGCTAATGGCTGAGTACCGCGGGTAGGAGGCAGGATCCATACGAAGCAAACAAGCGTGGCCGGGAACGGCGGGTGGTCGGTCTATTGCCCATTATGATTTTCATTTTGGTTTGCTTTGCTTTGCCCGTTGAAAAATTCAATTAAATTCATATCATTATTGCTCCATGATCATTGCTTCTTTTGTGCTTTGACTTTGGTACCGCCCAATCATAGCTAGTTCCTCTCGAGACGCTCGCCTTCCTTTCGCTGCCACTTTGCTGATTGCGAGGCTGCAGCCTCCTTTGCCTTGGGGCGCTTGGGGCTGGCGGCGAGTTTGGTACTATCCCCCAAAGAACTACTCGACCGTTTGGAATTGATGTTGATCCTGGGCGGGGGAAGATTGGGAACCAATTCCGTCATTGTCGTCTTCCATTTCTCGTAGCCTTCCGAAATGAGATATCTCATTTGGGCCGTGTTGGCACTGCGAGCCAAACACAAGATGCCTTCTGCGGCGGGTTTCTTTTTCCATAATGGAGCCCCACCGTTTTGTATCATCTGCATCAGAAAGCGAACAATCTCGCTGTCTATGACAACTTGAATGCTCGTAATTCCTCCGCAGAGATTGGCCACTACTCGGAGCGCTTCTTCTTCGTTGTCACCTGCAGCGATGACTTTTTGGAGATCCGTCAGGGAATTCTTGCAGTCCAAAATGGATTGGATATGATGGTCGTTGCCCGCGGCAATGCCGGCCAAGGCCTTGAGCGCCGCACGCTGTATACTAGTATTGTCGTTGTGCAGGAATTCCACCAATTTGGATACCACTTTGCCATCGCCAGACTCCACCACGGCGCCAATGATATTGTGAATATCCGACGAGTCTGCCAGTATATGGGCGTATGCCCACACTGTATCTCCCAGAACTTCTTCGTCTTTGTGATCCAGGAGTTTTTGCAAAGTGGGCAGGGCTTGTTGAATAGAATCCAGCGTGTTGGGTGGTTCGCGATACAACATGCCGAGCGCCCAAGTCGCCTGGCGCACCATGTCCAGGGATTGTCGGGGTTCCTGGAGTAGGTCCAGCAGGGTCGTCAACCCTCCTGCTTTTACAATCGCATCCCCGTTTCCGCTCGCTAGATTGCCCAGTCCCATGACGGCATGGTCTTGGATAACAACATCATTAGTAGTGGACAACAGCTGGACCAACGCCGGGATTGCTCCATGATCTATGAGGGCTTTGGAGCTTTTAGAAGGTCCCGAGGCAAGATTGCTGAGAGCCCAGACTGCATCTTCTTGCAGTGAAGGTTTCGTTAGGAGCTTCACCAAGGAAGGGACGACTCCAGCTTGGATGAGGTCTTCAAACGGTACCTTGCTGTCCCCGCTACTGAGGAGGCGACGAATTTCCACCGCGCATCGCTCCTGTTCTCTTAAGTCGCTGCTCAACAACCCAGCCGCCCATTCAGGGATCCCGGTTTTAAGGGCTTCTGTTGTCATGGTGCGATTACTTGTAGGTATGGTAGCTAATTGGTGTATCGGGGGTATCGATAGTCAAATGATCAACCAGGATTTCAGATTTTCGGATGTCTTCGAACTTCAAGCCACCCGTTGTCTCCTTCGCTGAATCCACGACTCGCTTAGGGTTGAGGTTGGAGGGATGAAATGACACCACTTTTGCGGAACAGACTCAAACAGCTTCCACATCACAGTCCAAATCAGAACAATCGATGGCAGCTTTCCTGTGGGTGGAGTATCAACATCAACATGACATCGAACACAAATGCAGCAATGTCGCGAAGGATCAATCGGCTTGGGCCGTATTGACAGGACATAGTCAAATAAAATCCTTAGCCAGATTGGCAGCAATCAACAGAAACTGCAAAAACTAAAAGCGATTCACGGCAGCACCTACCATTGATGCGTATGCTTTCACAGAACAATCATAGCTTATAGATTTATTTAGACTCAGCCCAAGAACATCAGGAATTCGAGTCATGACGACCATGACATCCCTGCCACAACTGCGCTTCCTCCTTCTTTCCTTGCTTCTGCTGATCTCTTCTTGCAACGCTGGTGCCGCCGACGACGACAAGTGCGCCGCCAGCAAATCGTACCAATGTCCATACTTGACGGAAGTCTGCGGCAACAACCAGACTGTCTTTGTGAGTGACTGTTTGGAAGACTGTCAAGGATATCGCAATACAGATTCCACAAACGAAGTGTGCTTTGACCGTCGCTTGTTGAGTGCCACGGCCAATCCGGATCCCAGTTACTTGTGGCGAGACATTCTCGGGATTCTGGTTTGGTTTGCAGCTGCTGGAGTGGCGACCGCGTGTGGCGTGGGAGGGGGTGGGATCTATGTGCCATTGGGAATCTTGCTATTGCAATTTGCTCCCAAGCCGTCATCGGGCTTGAGTCAAGCGTCCATCTTTGGAGCCAGCTTGGGAGGATTGCTGCTCAATTCCAGGAATCAGCATCCTTACACCACTCAAGTGCAAGTCCACGCGAGTAATAAGACTGATGATGAGGACGGAGAGAAAGATTCCAAACCAGCAGCTCGGATCAAATCCATTCCTACGTCCACCGAGAACAACAACAATGACGACAACCGAGACTGCTCCACCTCTACACAGTGCTATACCCGTCCACTGATTGACTTTGACATGGCACTCTTCTTGGCACCCATGGAAATGGCGGGGGCCGTCTTGGGTGTGCTCATTCAAAAGATATTGCCCAATTGGCTGTATCTTACTCTAGCTGCCATCATTCTCGGCTTTACAGCATATAAAACCTATCGGAAGTTCTTTGATATGCGCAAAGCCGAAAAGCTGCTAGTGGCAAAAGAACAGGGAGCAGCAGATGCAACATTAAAGGATGCCGAAAAGACAGAAGACAGTCACATTAATGACGAGCAGCCTACCAGTCCACCACCAGAAGAACCAACCACAAACGGAAACCACGCAACGGATGACAACGACCAGTCTGCAGACCAACCTCACCAAGACAAAGAACGCCAAACCCAAGACAATGGTGCCGAAAACAATAATACATCATCCACAACATCAACATCAACAGCAACAGCAGCAACAGTCAATCTCGAACGTTGTCAATACTGGTTGGAACAGGATCAACGGCAATTCCCAGTCGACAAATTACTAGGCCTCCTCATTCTGTGGATTGGACTTGTCTTACTCACATTCTTCAAAGGTGGAAAAGGGGTCGACTCGCTCATTGGCATCGATTGTACTTCCCCTTGGTATGCCACTCTCATTGCCATACAATTCGCATGGACGCTTGGATTTGCCGCATTCTATGGGTACAAACTACAACGTGCCACCCAAGACAAGATCGCTTGTGGGTATCACTTTCATCCCAACGATGTCCTCTGGGATTTGGCCAAGATTCGATTCTATTCCTTTTTCACCTTTATAGCGGGGATTGTGGCGGGTCTCATTGGCATTGGCGGTGGGATGGTACTGGGACCGCTCATGTTGGTCATGGGCATTCACCCACGGGTGTCTTCAGCCACCACAGCAACGATGATTGTACTGACCAGTAGCAGCGTGGCTGTCTTGTTTGTCACTGCGGGGTTGGTGCCCTGGGAGTATGCCCTGACCTTCTTTTGTGTATGCTTTTTGGGTGCCTGCGTTGGCAAGACGGTCATTGATGGATACGTGAAGCGGACTAACCGAGCCAGTTTGCTGATCTTTTTGTTGGCCACCATCATTGCCTTGGCTACGGTGGGGTGTATGGTGATTGTGCTGACTCGCTTGGCGCAGGCAGATTGGTGCTTTGCGGGTAAGTCCAGGAAACTGCATGTCACGCCTATGAAAACACCTTCATCAGGATGGCATACCACTCACATATCGCTTGTGCCTTCATCTTCATGTCCCAGGGTTCAACAAATTCTGCAGCATTGCCACGGACGAGGACGAGGACGAGGTTGTGTGTACCGGAGAGCGTTTGCTGGCCTTTGTCACGCCGACCAAAGCCAGTTCGTAGTGATTCGACTACATGTACATGGTTCACTTGCAATTTAAAAAATTGCCCCTGTCCGAATCGAGTTGCTCGAATATCTCGCCCGTGGTCCCGAGGATCCGTAGACATGTACAGCGAGGCACAACTGCGAAAGGACCGCGACATGCATATGCCATGTAGCTATTACACACATAGATATAATAGACAAGTACAATGATTGGATCCAGGGTAACTTTTCACAACTGTCTGTCTATTCAACTATTCAACCCATCGATTTACCGAACTCGCGCTTTTGAGACTTCAACGCCGAGTGGCTGACTGAGTCAGTGGGAGCATTCTCCCTAATTGGTTTTCGCGACTTCCAGTTCAGATGGCGCCAACAAATTCCCTAGGAATGGAAGCAGGTCGGCTGTGCGACGGCGGTATTCGAGATACTCCTTTCCAAAGCTTCTGTACAACATGCGCTCTTCATCGCGGATGCGGTTGCTGTACACAATTACGAGCGACAGGAACATTCCACCGGCGAAGGCAACGTTGCGGGTCAGGGCGAACGACGTGGAGACTATATTCAAGAGACTCGCGGCGTATCCCGGATGGCGAACAAAGCCATAAATGCCATGGTTGATGAGACGGTGGCCTTGAACGATTTCAAGATTCGCCGTAAAGTGTCCTTGCAAGGATCTCATGGACCAGAGCCACATAAAGGCGGCCACGGATTGAACCAACAGAGCGGCCCGGCTGTACGCCGACCCCACAAAGGCTTCGCCATTCTCCACCACATCAAAAGGTTTGCGATCGAAGAAGAAGAGGATCAGGCCAAGCAGTTGCCCCACGAAACCCGTCAGCAAGAGATGCAACGAAGTCCTGGAGTTCTTGTCTTTAAATGATTTGGTTGGCGGACGGTAGAGTACTTCGCTGAGTGCAAGAGCCAGAGATGGTACGAAGACGTGTGCAGCATAGGCTTGGTTCGAGTATACGATTGGAAGCAGGAACCCACAAGTGGTGCCAAGCACAAGGAACCCTGCAACAATGCGTCGAAGGAGGGAGTCGCCAATTTGTGTGCTTTTAGTTGTATCAGCTCGAGCCATCTTGGGAGTAATTGAAAAGTTTGCCTTTGCTTATGAGTTGATTTCTTGGTTTCTTGTTTTTATGAGCTTGAAAGGAAGATGCAGAAGAGAGTGGCAGGACTCCAACTTGAAAGTCGATCTTGAATCAAAGCGTATTCCTCCAACCAAGCCCACCCCCAAGCAACCTCTTCGGCATTACACAGCCCGGCCAAAGGCAGCTCAGCACTCCACGTTTTCTGCAAGCATCATCCAGGTACGACGGTGCCGGTACTGTGCCACGCTATTTCTATGCCGGAGGCGTCAAACCACAAATTTGCCCATTCCACGAAGTGTACAGCTACCGGTGCCGGTAGCTGCCTCGGTGCCACGGGCTGTCTTACTGTGCCACGCTATTCTATGCCGGAGGCGTCAAACCACAAATTTGCCCATTCCACGAAGTGTACAGCTACCGGTGCCGGTAACTGCCTCGGTGCCACGGGCTGTCTGACCGGTGGGAGTGGGCTCAGTCACAGTTTGCTCCCTTTTTTGGTTCCGGTATGGTTTTTGGCATGCGAGCATTGTGCCTTTCTATTACTAGCTAGTAGAGCATCATCAACGCTGGCCTCAAGTAAACCGGTGACAGGGGGTCAACAGCACCACAATGTAGCAGGCCAGTTTAGTCTTGGTTTGCTAGTGACTCAATCAAGGAAGAAGAAGAAAAAAACACAAGTCCTCTGCATCAGCAAACAGTGTTGTTGTTGTTTGCCATCTCCTTGTGATTACTACTAGCTAGTAGTGGTCATACCATCTACACTACTCCACAAGAAGAAGCTGCTTGATTCAAAGTGCTTCCACTGTAAAAGTCAAATTCTGACTGTACTGTATGCATATGGTACTGTTTGATCAATGTATTTCCTGCTGCCCATACCGTTTACGGTTCATCGTGGGAACAATTTACTGTTTACCGTTTACCGTTTACCGTTGATACATTGACTTGTTCAAAAGAGGACAATATCTGTGTACGATATACGGTTTACAGTTTTACAAATTAAAGTTGATTTACGATAAACGATAAACGGTATCCTCCCTCCTGCAATGTCTCCAAAGAAGCAAGGCACAACCAAAGCCACAGCAGATAAACGGTAAACGGTAAACAGTACACAAAATAATTGAAACGGTACACGGTAAACCGTGTTGAATTCTCTTTACAAAAATATCAAAGAGAAAAACTGTGGTAAACGGTATACCGTTTGGGCTGGCCACATGTGCACATTGTATACCGTATACCGTATCCGCCACCTCATTGGTGATGGCTAAATTTTTAGGCAGAAGTGGGTGGGCCTGCTACATTGTGGTGCTGTTGACCCGCTGTCAAATGTAGTCACCTCAGTCTTTCAAACATGCATTCGCCAGCCATCTGTTTGCTACAAGTTGACTCGGCCGCAAATTCAACGAATTTGCGGATTTTTGATAAACTTCCTTCCTCACATAGCAGCAAATTCAGATTTTTGAGATAAATTGTTCATGTGCTGTTCACCCAAGATTAAATTTCGATAAAGTGAGGCAAAACTTACGAAACGTGCAAGCAAGCATAGCCACAATTCGAGGATGCAGTGCCAAGGGTGCCTTCTTCTGTCACATAAGCCCTGATTTGCGGCTATGTTTGCGGCCAGCGTTGATGATGCTCTTAATTTCGGGTTTGGAGCTCAAAGGATTCGATTCGATTCGATTCGATTCGATTCAATTTTCATTTTTATCAAGATCCAAAAATGAACTTGAAACCTCAAAACATCCGGGTCGAGTGGCCCAGTCGATCTGTGTGCCGGTCATCACACGAGAAAATCAGACGCCTGGTTGGCTATCGGAACGGGCGGGCAGCTGAGCCAACAAGCAGCACATCGAATTCATGCACACCGGCTAATGAAGAGTACCTCGCAAATACCGGTATTAGGTAGAAGAAACATTTGGATAGAGCAAAAGGCGACGCAACTGTCTCTCTTTTCGGCTCTTGTACTAGTACCGGTACGGGTCCTGTACCGTAGGGCACCCGCAGACGTCCAGCACATTGGAGAGCTCTTTGAGCGTCACCACACCCATCCTCTGAACTCTGTCTCACAATCCAATTGAATAACAATTGAAAACAGTAAACACAAACCATTTTTTACAAGAAAACCATGTTTCGTCGCTCTTCCACCACTGATATCATTGCCGACAAGATATCTAGCCGGTCGCTAGAAAAAGTTTGCCAAACGGGGGATTTGCTCTTGGTTGCCACTTCGTGCAAGGAAAGGGAGCTTTGGTTTCGTATCATCACCGCAGTTCAAGGGTACAGGAATCTGCAACGAAGACTTCCAATCCTGCACTGTGTGGTTTTGGTCAAAGACCCCCCCAAGGATGTCTTGATGGCCTACGGCCTCACAGAGAAAGACAGCCGTGTGTATTGTCTTGAATCCACTTGTCACAGCCCTGACGGATGTCGCTTGATTCCACTGGAAGAATGGCTGAAACGTGAACTCAACCCTTTGTTCGTGGGCAGCAAAGTCTTGTACCGAAGTTGCGAAGTTACCGATGATACGTGGGTCTCCCCAAAGGCCTTTTGGAACTGGGTGATTGAAGCCCGCACTATTCCGTATACAAAGCTCTCCACCAAGGCTGGCTTCGATTTGCTCTACAATTGGTTATTTTCATCTGAAAGGGTTGTTCAAGCGTTACTCGAGGTCCAAACCGACCTCTCCATGGTGCGAGTCATGAAGATCGTTGGAGATGGGCCCTTGGGCCACATTGTTGCAGGGTTCTGTGGGCTCGTAGCCCAGTTTGCACTGGCGCTTTACTTCACCATAGTTACAATTACCGTCATCCTGTTCCATATTCCTGAATTGCTCCATCAAGGACGACTCGGTCGTGTCCCTGCCGAGACTAACGAACGAGGCTTTGTCAAGACAATCAACTGCAGCGGTTGCACTGCAGAATCTCTCATGCATCTTGGACTCTTGGATGGCACCAAAACTGACTCCTCCTGGTGGCTACCCCGTGACTTTTTGCCAAGGGATGTTGCTTCGAGTGCAACCGGTGGAAATTTGCTGGACCTACACACTACTCAAGCCAAGTACGCCAACACATTGATTGTCGGTGGAAATTTGCTGGACCTACACACTACTCAAGCCAAGTACGCCAACACATTGATTGATGTTTTTGTGCCTGACTATGAGCTGGAGCAGCGTACTCGTCAAAGTGTACGATATTCGTTTCAGAAACAGCTTGCTCGTGAACTCCTCCAATATACCGGGACGGGGGAATTCTCATACGATTCAGATTCAGATTCAGCAGTGACTAATTAAGTACAGGCAGCTTCGGTTTTAAAGATTCAAACGCGTGCCAGGTTTTCTCGTACACTTCTATGAGAGCTCGAGTAGATGTGTACCATGGAGGTCGGCACGCGTTTGCATCAATAAAATCGAAGCTGCTCGTAAATTTTCGGAGAAATGCGAAATGCGGAAGTTCAAGATTGTGATGGGATCAAAGAATTGAAGACGTAAGATTATGAATGGTGAAAGAAGATGCCTCATCCCATTTCTTGAGAGATCAGCGTGCTGTGCCTGATGCAGAACAAACAAGTAATGTAATGCTCGTCCAGAACGATTTTAGCTGCTCTAGCTAGTACTCTTTTCGGGACGGCTCGTACAGTATGGAATTGGGGAGGAGAGACTACAGGAAGGCCCCAGGTTTAGGGCTGAATTTGGCTTGAATCCATCAAAGTCGCGGTAGTGCAAAAGTCGCGATAGTCGCGTACCGCGACTTTAGAACGACTATTAAAGTCGCGATAGTCGCGCACCGCGACTTTAGAACGACTATTAAAGTCGCGATAGTCGCGCACCGCGACTTAACAACGACTTCTCCGTGTTATTTACTAGTTAAGCATCGCGACTTTAGAACGACTATAAAAGTCGCGATAGTCGCGCACAGCGACTATAGAACGACTATTAAAGTCGCGATAGTCGCGAACCGCGACTTAACAACGACTTTACCAGGACTATCGCGACTACGGCCACTTTGTAGAAGTTTGTATGTGGATCCTCGCTGAAACCTGTTGCCTTCCAGGTATGATACCGGTATGCATAAAAGTGGGAAAATGTGGAGTCTCCTACTGTGCTTTCCCCGAAAATCTTCAGGGGGCGCTTGTCTTCGGGCTTCTTCCTCATCTATGTTTTCGGCTCGACTGAATGATCTAACTAAGCTATGATACTAGGTAGGATCTATTCAACCGAGGATGCGCAGATACGGTAGAGCATGAAGAATGAGAGAGATCTTCCATAGTACCGTACTTTGGTACCGATAGCTGGTACTGTACCGGTAGCTACCCGGTACCGTACCGGTACGGGTATTGGCGTGGCATGGGTACAATGCCATTTTAGGTTTAATCACGAATTGAATCCCGTTGCCTCGAATTTCATTCGTTGATAATTAAATCTTTCACGAAGTCGGCTGGCGATTACAGAGCCGTTTGCAAAAAGCGCCCAAAAACCCGAAGACGCCACGAAACAACCCCTCCACAATCACGTCTTCCCAAACCGCCCTGCCATTGTCGAACTCCTTTGCTTCCCTTTGACCACTCGTCGTCCTTCGCTTCTCGCCGTACCTGGTACAGTACTTTTCATCGTCAACACTAGCAATGCCGTCTAAGAGCCTCAAGCTGAAGGTCGCCAAGGCGAAAGCCACCTTTGAAATGTCAAACGATCAAAAGGAGAAGAAGAAAGCGGCCGATTGGCTCCGGGAGCACCGTCTAATGGACGACAAGGGGGCGTTCTTTTTACGAAGCTCGTCTGTTCGGGCCAAGCCACCCAAAAATCAAAAGGCGCCGCCTGCCGAGCGACGCGAAGTGCAGTTCGAGCGCGAAGAGGCCTGTTCGCCAGTTCGAGATGCCTCATTGAAGAAGAAACCCGTTCGCGCCGCTACACCCTTTCACAAACCTCGCGCTTTACCGCTTGAAGAAGATGAAGAGAATGACGAGATCGAACCCGTCGACGAGGCATTGGCAGCTGAAGAAGAAACTTCCGAGGTCGAAGAGACCCGCGAGCCCAATGAATTCGGGAACGTGGACGACGATGACGAGCCAGAGTCTCAATGCTTCGATGGACGCGACGTGGTGATTGCTATCCTTGTTGGGTTGATTGGATTGTTGGTCGAGAAGTACGTATTCGACAAGTCCGGATAAAGCGAATCGTATGTCAGTATTGTTGGTAAATGCAAGTCACCGATGCTTGCCGACAGACACCATTGAGCTGTCGGTCGGTACGAGTGGAAAATGAAGGTTGCGTTGCGACCTACCGGACGAAGAGAGTGAGAGGCACTTTCCGAAACCGAATGAAAAAGAAGTTAGAAGACTCCAGGCAACGATGAGCCATTGCAGCAAGAGAGTGAGTAAAAAGAAAAGCACTACCTACCGTAGAAGAAGAATATGTTAGCATGAAACCAGAATTGGCTCTTTTGTACCGTAGAAACTCGCAGCATACCGGTAGTGGAGTGAGTCGAATCCTCCGTCCTGGTTGTTGTGGTCACTGAGACGCTTCAAGTGTCTTGTCTTGTCTTCGTCCCACTGCAGAGCTGAACCTCGTTCCGTAGAAGGCAACCATTACCCCGTGTCACACTGTTTTCCACTTTGAGAGATAGAGCAGACAATAGTAGCAGCAGATCGCTATGCATACATCCTGAGCACGTCTCTAAGAATCTTGAGGTGCTTGGCTGGGGCAGTCCGCGCATCAGACATCATCCACACCGTTACTACATGTACCTGTACCGGTAGCACCATGCAATTTCCAATCTATGATGTTTCCCTACTGTACGGTACTTCTGCTAGCTTTGCACTACGTCACCGATAGGACAAGGTTGCCGCAATCTAATGTCCTAGTACCAGTAGCTGGTGAAGGATCTGGGGTTTCCTACCGTATCTATCATACAGCCTTTTACAAACACAGATACTCTCAAGTTCAGATGGAGGAGCGTGGAAGTTGGCAAGACCAATGATCAATCGATTAGATTAGATTCGAATTATTTCGACTCGATTCAGTCGAAATCGATTTTATCCAGCCCCGTATCCAGCTCGCTCCTCGCCTTAACCCTATATTCAGTCATTTATTTTCTGCTCCAAACCAAAGATTG